AAAGCTAGAGAGAGAGAGAGAGAGAGAGAGAGAGAGAGAGAGAGAATGTCGCAAAGTGATCCAAAAATGGCTTTTCTCGGACTGATATATCATACAGTCCGCTCGAGCGTGGAACGCCCTGCTCAAGCGTCAGACACAGACTCACGCTCGAGCGTGAAAAGCGCCGCTCGAGCGTCGAATGCATACTTCCAGAAGTTCTACAGATGAAGGTCCCCGCTCGAGCGTGAAAGTGGACGCTCGAGCGTCCGATGACCTGCAGCCAAAAGTACAGAGGGTTGAATAATCACGCTCGAGCGTCAAAATGCCTGCTCGAGCAGAGCAACAAAAGCAAAGGGCCCATTCGAGCGTGAAGGCCAAAATCTGGGCATCAACTCTTGGTTTCCAAACATAACCAACCTGTTTCAAACCTACCCAACACAACCCAAGACTCAAATATAAGGAATTTAAAGGATGGGAATGAGAATAAGACAACAACCAACATCCACGGACCCGAGCCCGGAATACAGTTTAAACAAATAAGGGAAAACCGAGATCGCTATATAGGTCAGAAATAATTCTGGAAAGCAAGAAGAGCTATTGTCCAGTAAGTATCTCTGATTGATCATTAATATGTTTATTTGCTATGGATTAACTATGTTGAAATGAAGGAATCATGCATACTATGTGAAGCACAGTGCATTTTTATACCTAAATTTAAATTTAAAGGTTTATAATTGTTCACATGTGCATATTGAGGTGTAGTTTTTTTTACACAATTTTCTTTGAAGCAAAACACTAGTCCTCATTGTTGTCCAGAGAAATTTGGCATTTTCTCGATGAATTTTCTCCGAGAAATTCTCTAGGAGGTCCAGAGAAATAGAGAAACCTCCTAGAGAAATTCTAGTTCTCTGGAGAGAAATTCTTTCAGAGGTCCAAAGAAATTCTGGGGAGAAATTTCTCTAGATCGGAATTTCTCTGGAGAGAAATTTCTCTGGGAAGTCTAAAGAAAATCTCTAGATGAAATTTCTTTGGATCAAATTGATGGATCTTAGACATTATGAAAATATTTGGTATCCTTTATGCTATAAAATCTTAATATCAGGGACCTTAAAAAAAAATTCCCAAAAAATTACTTCATATTTTAAAAATATTCACTAAAAACAAAAAAATATGAAAAATAAAAACACTAAATTTCTAAAAAACTGAATTTAGAAAATTAAAACCAAACACATTGATTACGATTTGGAAAATGGTGGGATAGAAAGGAAAGGAAAGGAAAGGAAATATTTGGGAAAGAGACATGGAGAAGAATATAAAAGACAATTGACAATGAAAATAATTCATTCCAAAAAAGTTCAATTTAATTATTAAAAAGATCTAATTTTTCTTCATATTTACTACAGAAAATCTAGTTTATTTAAAATTGTGCATTATTTGTATTTTCTACAAATATCACATTTTTTTAAAACTACAAAACAATGAGAAATACTCATAAAACATTTAAAAAAATGAAAACACTGCTATGTATAGTTTATTTTCTTACTATTTTGTATTATACTTGACAAAATATTATTAATTTGTTAATAATTATTTTTTAATGAAAAATTAATACAGTAAATTCCATTGACCTCCCTTGATTTTTGAAAATAAAATATAGTAAATGTTAAAATTTTAGTATAATTACACTAACCTCTTTTTTAGGGTTAGTTTGTGTATAACTTATTTTTTGACTTACTTATTACTAAAATGCGTGTAAAAAAATAGAGAGGTGATGTGACAGAAATAAACCAATAAGTCAATAAACAGCTTATTTAAGCTTCGTTTGGCAATGAGTTTTTTTGACTAATAGTCACAAAAAGACAAAAATAGGTTAAAAAGTCAATAAGGCAAAATGTCACATCCAAACCATAATTATTTTACTTTTTCTCTCATAAAAGTCAAAAAAATCAATCCAAACGAACTTTAAGTCCTAGCTAAAATAGCCAAAATGCTAAAAAGCCAACTAAAAAAGTCTATTGCCAAACGACAACTTAAGAGTTACCCAAAACAAGTAAGACTAAAAGAACTAGAACTAATATAAATGATATGAAGACACAAGAATTAAAATATATATTTTAGTGTAAACTCTAGGGTTTCGCGTGTTTTTCAATTTAAACCCCAGAGTTTTAATTTTGACAAATTAAACCCTGGAGTTTCTTCCGTGTTTCAATGTAAACCTTCCGTCCATATCCATTTTATTGGACTAACGAAATCTGGGCAAAATTCTCATGTTCAAATACACATGTTCAAACACTTGTATCATCCTTGTCGTAACTTCATTTCGCCTCATTTTTGCGTCGTTCGATTCACCTCATTGCCTAGTTTTCATTCCACCTTTCATACGCCTTGTTCCACCTCTTTTTGTGTGCTGTTAAAACTCCGAAAGTTGGTAAAAAATAAGATTTTTCTCTCTTTGGGTAAAATTTTCATATTCAAACACACATGTTCAAGCACTTATATCTCATTCGTCGTAACTTTGTTTTGCTTCATTTTTGCGTTATTGGATTCATCTCATGGTCTATGGTCTAGTTTTCATTCCACCCCTTATAAGCCTTGTTCCACCAATTTTTGTATGTTGTTAGAGCTCCGAAAGTTGGCCAAAAATAAAATTTCTCACTTTTTTTTTCCCATCTATCTTATATCTCCATACTTCTTCCTTCCTCATTTTTTTCCACAAGTTTTCTCTCTTTTCCTCTTCCTTCATGGTCCTTCCCCTATTCTTATGTTTCTTTCCGTTCTTGTAAATCATATACATTCGTACTCGACGACACCGCCGCCGTCGGAGGTTCAGTGGCCACCACGAGCTCGATGGAAGGGCTATGAAGGAAAAAGAAAAGGACAAAAGAGAATAATTGTGGAAAGAAAGTAGAAAGGAAGAAGCATATAGATAAAAGATAGAGGAGGGGAAAAAAAAACAAGAGACTTATTTTATTTTTGGCCAACTTTTGAAGCGTTGGCGGCATGCAAAAAGAGGTGGACTAAGGCGCATGAGGGGTGAAATGAAAACTAGGTCATGATGTGAATCCAACAACACCAAAATTAGACGAAACAGAGTTACGATAAGGGAGATACAAGTGCTTGAACATGTGAGTTTGAATATGAAAATTTTGCCCAAAGAGAGAGAACTTATTTTTGGCCAACTTTTGGAACTCTGATAATATGCAAAAAGATGTGGAACGAGGCTTATGAGGGGTGGAACGAAAACTAGGCCATGAGGTGAATCCAACGACGCAAAAATGAGGCAAGGCGGAGTCACGACAAAGGAGATACAAGTGCTTGAACATGTGTATTTGAATATGAAAATTTTACTCAAAGAGACAAAATCTTATATTTGACCAACTTTTAGAGTTCCAACAGCACACAAAATAAGGTGGAACAAGGCGTATAAGGGATAAAATTAAAACGAGACAATGAGGTGAATCCAACGATGCAAAAATGAGGCGAAACGAAATTACGACAAAGGATATACAAGTGTTTGAACATGCGTGTTTAAATATGAGAATTTTGCTTAGATTCTGTTAGTTCAATCAAACGGATATGAATTGAGGGTTCACATTGAAACATGAAGAAACTCTAAGATTTAATTTGTCAAAATTGAAACCTTGGGTTTAAATTAAAAAACACGCGAAATCCTAGGTTTTTTTTTTTTTTGGTAATTTAAATTTTAAGGAAGGCAATGTAATTTATACAAATTAATAATAAATATTCATGGAGATATCAAGTAAAGGATAATGAAAAATTTAGTCATGAAATTAATATTAGAAATATAAGAGAAATATTATTTACACAGAAAATTTACGCACAGAATGTACCATATTTATGTGTACGTAGCATTGGTCAAGAATATAGTGACCAAAACCACAGTTCTATATGGTAAAAAAATTATTCAATATATTTGAAACATCACGTATTACTATTCTTTTATCAATAATGATAGAGAGTTCTAATTTTAAAACTTTAAAGAGAATTCTAATGATGTGATAAAAGGAAAAAAAAAAAAAATATATAGGCACATATATCATATTACATGTGGACCCTACTCCTTACCATATCACTAAAACGCTCTTTAGAGTTTTAAAATTAGAGTTCTCTTTCTTTATTATTCTTTTATTTATGATCATATATCATATTCCTTCATATTCATTAATCATCTGATACGAAATCATACCTTAAAATATCTGGTGGTGCTATATATATCAATTAGTATACACACTAGTGTACTAACTAGTGTTATGATATCATTAATGACCCTATTTATTATACAAATTATAAATATTCAAAACTTCTAAAATTATATCATATCATCTATTAATATACTAATATGTACATTAATTAATGTATATAACATTATTCTAAAGGAAATGGCGTCTGTCCAGTCCTTAATCGGACTGGACTGTGCTGTTGGGCCCGTGAAGGCCCACCACGAGTCCCGTTTTGATAATCTGAACCATTCAATGTGTAGAACTCGTTGAGTACTATATGTTTGTAAAAAATCACGTTGATCGGATATCGATAGCTATGTGATCAAAACAGATTTTTGTCAACCGTTAATTTATTCACCGTTAATTTATTCACCTTCCATTTTTTTTATACAAAACTGATTTGATCACATAACTATCGATATCCGATTAATATGATTTTTTACAGGCATATAGTACTCGATGATTTCTACACATTGAACGGTTCAGATTATCAAAACGAAACTCATAATAAACCCTTACAAATCCAACAATATAGTCCAATCCGATTAAGAACTGAACAGAAGTCCTGCCCTATTCTAAAATATCACGCGACCATATTTCCAGATCACCAATTAACCACTCTATAGGATAAGTCATGTAGTAGGTGAGCCCCACTCCAACGAGGGGCAAAATTGTCTTTTCGATACAAACTTATCATAATCCAGGGGCGCCTAGTCACCTCCACCTTCACATTAATTAAGGTAATAAATAAAATTAACGAAATTATAAACCCACAGAGAGATAAGCATAAACCACGTCGGCCTAACACTAAGGGTGCGCTTTACGCCGTTAAGCATTCTCCGAATCAAAACCCCTCCAAGAATGGAAAAGTTGTAGAGAGAGAAAGCGAGAAAGAGAGAGCGATCGCTGTTTGTATTTTGTTCTTCTTCTATACAAATACACAAACCTGTATGTATGTATATGATTTGCATACAGATGATACTAGTAACAATTCTCTATTTTAGTTCAAAGCTTTCTCAAATCTGCATCATCTCCGTATAAACTCGTCGTTTCTCTTTTTCCTGGAATAATCCAAGGCCGTACCACACCGTCGTCTTTACTTGTCGCGCATTCGGATCTCGGAAACAGAATTTTCTCTTGAATTTTCTTCTATTTTCTCTGTATGCAATCAATGGTGATGGAAGATAACGAGAGCTGCGGTAGTCGAGTGGTGGAATCGTCTACAGCGAACTCTCGTCAGCAGAGAAGAAAACTCGAGGTTTACAATGAGGTCCTCCGTAGGCTTAAGGAATTAAATCATCAGGAGGCTGGAGAACCTGGTTTTGATGATGAACTTTGGGCTCACTTTGATCGTCTCCCCACTCGGTACCTTTACCTTTACCTTTACCTTTCTATCTACCTGTATGGTCTCGTATACTAAGTATATTCTATATATAAATATAAATAATTTTTTTTTTTGATTTTGAGTGTCTTTGTTACATATATGCATGTCTCGATGCTTTGCATTTTTATTTTTATTTTAATGTTTGTTTATTTATTTGTATTTTTTCGGTTGATCGAGATGTTGAATCTGTTCGGCATTAATTAGTATTTATATTTTCTGGTGTTAGAAGCTTTTTCAGTTTTTTTCTTTCTTCTTTTCTAATTGTTTTTACAATTTTTGTTTTTGTGGAGAGTGTATTTTGATGTTCAATTAATCTCATGCGTCTCTACAATGGAGCAAAATTGTAGGTTTTTTTTTTTTTGGGGTCTTTTTTTTTGGGGGGTCTTGTTAGATCTCTCACACACACATCCTGAATTTTGTGATATAATTGTTTAATTTAATGATAATTATGAAAAATATTTGACTGGTTGTTGAGTCTTTTGATATGCATGGCAGGTATGCACTTGATGTGAATGTGGAGAGGGCAGAAGATGTTCTTGTGCATAAACGATTACTTCAATTGGCTCATGATCCTGTTAATAGACCTGCATTCGAAATTCGGCTAGTGCAGGTAAGTTGATTTGATCTACATTGTGATAGCTTTGGTTCATTGTCCATTTGTCCTTTTGGACAGGACTTCTTTTGTTGTACAGTGTTGTTAAGCATAAATGCAATTTGGATGCTAGGAGTGGCATAATATTATATTAATGGGTTAACAATACAGTAGGTATTGCAAAAATGAAGAATAAACACTCGAAGTAACAATCTAATTTATTATTCTATGCAAGCGTAGCAAGGTAAACTGTGCTATGGATCCATAAAAATCCATTAGAGTTTGTTGAGGGGGTATGCTTTTGAGGCAGACATGAAAATATGTTCTCAATAATGCAACCATACTTTCTCGGGCTTTAAAACAATTTTCTAGAGATATGTATGAGCAAGGGATTTTTAGAGGCTCACAGATTTGGGTCCACAAGGTTTATCCTCGGGGATATTGAAATCATTACAGTGTCATACACCCTAAGACTAAAGTCTATTGGCTTAAGTTCAAACTGCGTAAGACTTTTGAATTATCCAATCTCAGACACAGATGAAATACTGGTTTGCCGGAATTCTGGTATAATTTTGTATGGTGACCTTTTCAAGAACAGTGATGAATGTATCAGCAATTCGCTTTTATGATTTCCAGGTTTATTTATTCACTCCAATTTGTTCGTATATTTTCACAGTTCTGGGCAGGTCTTTCTATAGCCTATCCCCACCGATTAGTACACCAGGCTTAGTTTTGTTTGGTTTGGGAAGTTCTTTTTATATTGTTGAATTGCCATTGCTGAAGTGTTACACTTTTTCAAGAACAAAAATATGTTTTACTTTCTATGATTTTGCACTGTTTTAGTTGTTTGTTTGTAGGTAGTTTTATTTGTATACTTGGTCTAAAGTAGTTTGGTCGAATACATTTTGGCAATTGCTCTCTCATCCAGGTTCCTCCCATCTCTGATGGAAATACAGCTGATTCTAATCATTCAAGCTCTCCAACGAAAGAAGTTGCCCAAAGGTCTTATTTCTTAGTAAATAACTTACAAGATTTGCTTTGTTTTTGCTGGATGTAGTTCCCATATCGCATGTGAGTGGCTTATGAATGAAACTTGTAGGATAGTACTTTCTTTCATTTAGTTGTTCAGTCCACCATTACTTTAATCAGTATTTCTCACTGATGATGCTGACATTTGTACCTTCCCTTTTAATATGTCAGCGTTCATCCACCACCTGCCTTTGGTTCATCTCCAAATCTCGTAGCTCTTGCACTTGAAGCAAACAAATCTCAAGTTCAAGATGGGGACAGTGCTGGTTCCCAGCCCCGGTAAGATTCACTTAACATCTCTTTTTTGCCCCAATGTCTTTCCAGAACATCTTTCCATGCTATATATCACCGGATGAATTTGACTGGTTTTTTTCACCTCCTATGTGGATGAACACAACAAATGCCTTGTGTGGATGTAGGACCCACCATTTCTGTAAAATAATGTGATCGACCATAGCAGTTTGGTTTAGATCAAAATTAACATTTAGTTGATTAACCTTTTTTGTTTTTGAAAAGTTTCTTTCTTTCATTCTTTTTTTAATTACCTAAAACAGAAAAATTCTTCATCCATTTATATCCCAGAAAGGAGATTAAGCCTTCTCATGGATTTTGGTCATATAGAAAAATTCTTCATCCATTTATGTTCCAGAATCCTTGAAAGTCAATTCTAGCAACTCCACAAGTAATATATTCCATACTAACGAAACTACTAGCTGTCTGATTGAAGTGGTTAAATGGTGTTCGGTTTTGAGCTCATATACTTCTATATTAGTGGTCAATATTCTAGTTAATCTCTACATAGCTATCCCCGTTATCAATAATTTTACCAATTATGTTCTGGAGAATTTCACTGTTTTGCATTGTCCAGCTTATTATGCTTTTATGTGATTGGAAATTATGTAGGTCAATGCATGAAATTACATTTTCAACGGATGATAAGCCAAAGCTCCTCAGTCAGGTAGTTGGTGTGTTTGCTTGTTCTAGAGCAATTATATTTTGTCATATGATTTTGAAGTTGCCACATCACTTGATTTAGGCCACATCCTCTTCCCATGTTGCTGATTAAATTGATATATGATCTAATGTTCATAAAAGCATCCAGGGATCAATATGAGCGTTTGACTTAGTATTCTAGTTAAAGGCTTTTTGCTGCAGCTTTGTTTCAGTTAACTAATTACATTCGATGCAAGCAACCCACAGCCTCATTATTATTAGCACCAAGAAACAAGAGAGCATGTATTTTTAAATTTGACTTTCTGATTAATCAGTTTTCACACATGAAATTTGTTGGTTCAAAGACATGAAAATGCATTTTACTCTTCAACTACAGCTATATGTGTCAATATTCTTTATTTCATAACCTTAGGCATGAAGCTCATAATTCCAATATTGTTAGAGAGAAATGCATGGTTTAAAATCTCCAGTGAGTATTCTAGTTTTGGACTCACAGGTTGTACTCTTTTAATGTAGCTAATTTTGGCATTTGACAAATTTTTAAATCCCAAGCTTATGAACAAAATTTTGACGAAGACATGCACAAAATCTGCAGTTGACATCCTTACTAGCTGAGGTTGGGCTGAACATCCGGGAAGCACATGCTTTTTCTACAGTGGACGGGTATTCCTTGGACGTCTTTGTCGTTGATGGTTGGCCTTATGAGGTAATTTCTTTTCATCTAATTATGTAGGTAGGTTGCTTATATCCTTATGGTAAACAGATTAGGCTACCTGTTTTGTATTATATTTCAAGTTTTAATTTCTTTTTTGGAAAAGCCACACAGATATTGATTTCTGCCTTGTCACCTGTTTAAGACTTTTGAATTGTTCATTCACTTTTATTCATTGTTGTCCTCCCTGAATGAGTCGAATTTTATAGTTTATATGATCTTTTAATTTTACTGTTAATAGTTTAAATTAGTCAATTTTGAATTTTAAACAAATCGGAAGCTGTTTGAAATATCTTCAAATTATACTGCACAAGCATGTTTTTTTGATTTGTTCTTTTTGTTTCAATTCATTGGAATATTTTTTGGCTGATTTATTGTTGATTTTTAGGAAATTGAGCAGCTCCAAACTGCATTAAAAAAGGAATTGTTGAAGATTGAGGTACTGCCCCGCTGTTTTTGTTACAATATGGAGTCTGTAACTTTGTATGTGATTCCTCAAATTTTTGTTATGTAATAAAGCATCAGTAAAATGGCTTCTTATTTTTTTATTTTAGCCCAGCTGATACTTAGGAGAATATTTGAAATTGGTTCAGTCAGTATATCTTGAATTAATCCACAGGCCTGGTGGTTTGATTTTAATTATTTTGGTGTTTGTCATGGTGATTCCTTTCTGGAGCTGTAGTTTGAATGCTCTATTTGTGTTGGATACAGTTTTACATTTGAAGTTTAAGATATTGTATATCTGCCTTATCTTTTGGATGTGAACTTACATTTGTCAAGTTCCTCAAATTTCCTCTATTTTAATATCCTGACCCAATAAATCATGGGGTGGGTGAGCTTTGCTAGCATTTCATTTTCACAGGTACGATACTGCATGCTGTGACTCAACTCCTTCACAATCATTGTTATAGATAGACAAATAGTTAGTGAGTTGAAGTTGGACTGAGAACCTCAAATGTCTGTTATGGTACTTTTTTTTGGAAATCTAGCACTAATCTTTCTATAAATGGCATATACAACATACATACAGATTGCATATATGACAAAACTTTCTCGTCTAGTGTTCACTTCTACGCAGAGGATATGAACTAGCTACGAACTGTAGTTGCCCAAAAAAATATAGAATAGTGTATGTAAGTCAATGGAATATATAGAATTTTGTTAAGTAAAACTGACAGAATAACAGTAAGATAGAAAGCAGAGACATGGCACTTGAGAATTCTTGGTCTCCTCAAACTGATGTAAAAATCAGGTATATATATTGGAGGATTGTAGCAACAGGTTTAATTCACAATTAAGAGAATGTTTTGAAATATTTTGGTATAAATATGGTATTGATTTTCATATAAAACTTGTAACAGTAAAAGAATTTAATAATATTTTTAATTATTAAAATATTCCAACACTTTCTAATTGAACCGTGGTGCTAGATATACTTCTCTACTTCATCTTGTTGGAATACAAACTCAATTTGAGTTTAAAGATGGTGAATTCCAGAAAAGAGAAGAAGCTGCTGGAGAATTCAAAAGTCAAGAATAGAAGTTCAAAATGAAGAAGAAAATGGAATTAGCTAGAAGGAAAAGGAAGCTTCAAGGAAGCTCCATTGTTAAAGCTTAAGGAGGAAGAGAACACTATAGTACACACGTTTTGTACACGGATTGAGAGTCTATAAATAGATAGGTTGTGTGATTGTTTTAGATAGAGTGAGAGAAAAATGTATTCTCCAAGGAGAAACACAATATTTCCAGATGAGGAGAATTCTAAGAGAGTAGAGAATTTGGGAGTTAACAGAGAGAACTCTGTTTTGTATAATTTGTTTGTGATTGAATAAAAGGAGTATTTATTCAATTAATTCCTCTCTTTATATACCATCACAACCGATATACACCCCTCTCCCACTTTCAACAGTGGTATCAGAGTCTGTTTAGGCAAAAAATTCGAAGAAACAGAGAAGAATAGAGGTTGATTTCAATTTTGTCCATATTTCGAAGGTGTGTTGACTGGAGGAGTCTAGACCTTTCAATTAGAAGAGCCAAGAAGGAACCAAAGTTATCGAAACTAAATTTTTTCAAAATTATCGAAATTTAGTTTTGAGTATACCGGATTAAAGTACTCGTTAAGAGGATTCTGACGGTATAAAGAATGGTTCAAACGAACTTCAAATGAACCTATACGGCTGTCGAGAAGTTGAGCGCATACATAGAACTGTTAAGTTGAACCTATACATCTTCCCTAGAATTCTGAAGTTGCAAAACATTCAAGAGAAATTATTTAGTGTTTCGCGATTGAGTTGCAACTGTTAATCTGAACCCGTCCAATCTATTTTGGCTAAATCTAAGCCATCCAAAGTCCAATCGCAATGATCCAATAGTGCTTTCTAACTATTTGGAGCATTCCGGACACATCCGTACGGTCAAATTTTGCAAATTCCATGCCAGTAATTTGCAGATTTTATTTGAAGAGATGAAGTAAGAAAAATATTCTTCGAAGCAAGAGTCAAAGAATACAGCAAAGAAGACATCATAGAAAAGTGATAGAAGACATCCCAGATATCGTGGACAAGACAAGCAAACAGTTGGTTGCTCTAAGACATTGAAGAGAGATGAGTTAACAGATGGTTGACAGAAGTGGACTACATGTGGTTGTTCCACAAGATAAATAACAGTTGGTTGTTTCTAGAGATAAAGAACAACAGGTGGTTGTTCCAAGAGACATACGTCAATAGAGGATTGACAAGAGAGGACAACAGAGGGTTGTTCCACATGGAAGAGGTCTTGAAATAGGATATATATTGCAAGGAAGAGATCCTGACAGAGGACAAGGTCGTGGACAAGAGAGAAGACGTCAACAGGAGGTTGACAACACCGAACATCAGGAGGCTGTTTAAAGAGAGATAGAAGTCAATAGAGGATTGACTACAAAGACCGGACAAGAGGCCATCCACGAGCAGATATGAAGTATCGTGTAGAGAATCCAACAAATTAAGTTTGAGGGGGATGTTGGAATACAAACTCAATTTGTGTTTGAAGATGGTGAATTCCAGAAAAGAGAAGAAGCTGTTGGAGAATTCAAGAGTCAAGAAGAGAACTTCAAAATGAAGAAGAAAATGGAAGCAGCTAGAAGGAAAAGTAAGCTTCAAGGAAGCTCCGTTGTCAAAGCTTAAGGAGGAAGAGAACACTGTAGCATACAAGTTTTGTACACAGATTGAGAGTCTATAAATAGATAGGTCTTGTGATTGCTTTAGATAGAGTGGGAGAAACATGTAATCTCTAGGGAGAAACACAATATCTCCAGATGAGGAGAATTTAAAGAGAGTAGAGAATTTGAGAGTTAACAGAGAGATAGCTATGCTTTGTATAATTTGTTTGTGATTGAATAAAAGAGGTATTTATTCAATTAATTCCTACCCCTCTCCCACTTTTCTAACACATCTCACCATTTTACTATTTCTTATTTGGGGTTTTATTATTGGGCACTTGATATAGGTTAACAAATTTGGTAACATACACAGACATTTTGAAGTGAAGCTCTCAAGTCTATATTCATCCCATGAGCTAAGCATTTTCTTTAAATTGTGTTCCTGTTGTGTAATATAAGAAACCTCTTTATATATGCCTTAATGCTAAATGTGGAATGCTAAAAATGTAGAATTTACATTAAATTTTCTCATGTTGCACTTCCACATGTGTTCTGTTTACTTTTATGTTTAATGTGTTTTCCTTTTCTATGCTAGTTTTTGATACTCAGTAATGAATAGATTCTTAACTAGGCATTTTGAGTGGCTATGCAGAAGCCTTCTTGGCCAGACCATCTTTTGCCATCTTCTATGGGTGACCAGGGGCAAACAGTGATCAAACATGAACCTGATCATTTGACAATACCTAATGATGGGACTGATGTCTGGGAAATTGATCCTCAACTTCTGAAATTTGAGAGCAAAATTGCAGCCGGGTCATATGGTGATCTGTAAGTTTATCATATCGTAAACATCTGTTCTAATTGTGTTTTGAGTCATCAGTTAACTAAATCTTTTGATTGATACAGATACAAAGGTACATACTGTAGCCAGGAAGTAGCTATCAAAGTTCTGAAGTCTGAACGTGTAGGTCCAGACTTGCAGAGGGAATTTGCCCAAGAAGTATTTATTATGAGGTTTGTCGAATCATTACTTTTCAATTGAGCATATGGGTATAGTATTGTATAAATCCTACATTCTTAATTCATCCCTTTCGTTGCAGTACTTAATAAAATCCATAAATGGTCCTTCTAGTTTCCTCTAAGTTTCAGTGGTCCTTGGACTTTGAATTTCGTCAATTTGGTCCTTATACTTTCTATCTTGTTCCACTTTGGTCCTTTTTGTTTTACAATCATGACGCTGAGGTTTTAGTTATTATATTCTTACATCTTAAGTTTTGTTATATTATGAAAATACCTTTTTATTTTATAATTTATCACACACTATTTTTTCATTTTTCTGGTGCAAAAGGTTCCTTTGGAGAGTTCCCTTTAAGGATAAAGATAATTATTTGTGGTGTTTTCTTGCTTGTTTTCTACAATAGCTAATTGCTTACCTTTATGTAATAGTAGATGTCGGATTTCGAGTATAACTCTAGATGATTTTCTATAAGATTTTTGTTAAGTTCTTTTAATAACCTGATTATAGTATTATTTTGTTCAATTGTAGTGCAATATTATTATTTAAATTATCTGATCCGACTTCTTCAGTATATCTAATCTAATGTTCATATATTAATATTGGTAAGGCTGAGAAACTAGGGTCTGATACCAATTCTAAAGACATGTACTTTTACTGTGATTTTATAATTTATAGGGATTTAAAAATTATACTAATAGGTAAATATGGCCTTATAGTAATTAATAGTACTTCTAGGTTTATAGTTTATTTGTATATTTCCTTCAGGGATTAAATTGATTTGGAATTGAATCTTGAGGGACTTATTTGGCACAATTAGAACTACAGGGACTAAAATGAAACAGGTGTCAAACTCGGGGGACTATGGCTATAATTCACCCATTATTAAAAAAAATAGAAAAAATAGGTTAGTCAATTTATTTCTTTTCGGCTGCTAGTTGAAATTATTAAGCTTCCTTAAGGCTCTCATTCTTTACATAGCATGTGCTAAAAATCTGTCAGTTCTTTTTGTCTAGCTTGATTATTTTTTTCACAAATCTTGTCATATTTTAACTTTTCCATTAAAACCTTTTTATATTTTCCTAGGAAGCTTATTGTAGTCTATTTTCAATCATGATGTTAGTTAAAAGAATTCTATGATGTCATGTGCTGAAGCAGTAGTTTGTATCTTGTTGGTCAGACTGTTGTTTGTCTTGCCAGATGTGCAGGTGCTCCAAAATATGGTTTCTGGGTATATTATATGTGCCAAAAAAACAAGAAGTCAGCATTAGACTGACCTTTAAATTTCCATTTCAAATGGTTGTTCCGTTCCTCTTTCCTACCCCATCCTCCCAGGGTCAGTGCAACAAGACAACATTGTGATGTTACTGATTGCGGTGTTGGGACTTAGAATTCCATTGATATTCCCCAGTTATCATCCTTTTCACCACAATGATAGTGAAGTTATCTAACTTGTGCAGATATGCATTGAACTCTATTAGAAAAGTTTAGTTACTTTAGGTCTTCTAATTTACTCGTTGGCACTTGCAGGAAGGTTCGGCACAAGAATGTTGTACAATTCATAGGTGCATGTACCAAACTTCCTAGTTTGTGCATTGTTACAGGTATATTCTTATGTGTATATGAATGTCTCTCATAATGCAAACTGAAAGCTCCTTTTTTTTAGGCAAAATCCAATTTACCTCCCCAATGGTTTTGACCCAAAGCACTTCACCCCTTGTATAATAGGCAAATACCCCTCTCATGGTTTTGGACATTTTGCAATTTGCCTTCCTATAATTAATTATTCCATCCGAATTATTAGAATGTGTACCACACGCACGTCAATTAGGAGTTAGACAGGAAAATATTTTAATCAAAGTCAAATCAGTGTTATTAAAAGAGGCGCAAGTCCCAGCCATGCCCACCCCTTGTGCCTTGCAATGGTCAAGGCGAGGCGACTTCACTAAGGTGCGATTAAAGCGCATGACTGGAACAAGGCGCAATTAAGCCCAGGGAGCAGGCCTTGAGGGCTTTTTTTCTTTTTTTGAGTTGGACCAAACTGAAATTGCATGGGTCAGCTACAACAGATCATATCCTTCAAATATACATGCTAATATTGTCGATTTAGTTGACCTTTAGATCATGGATATTCGTGTTTTATGTTGAACTTTGAAATATTACTCATTTGTCTATGGTAAAATGGTGATATTTGTTAGTATTTATTTTTTAAAATGTTCAATGTTTCATTTTGTTTATGTTATACTAGTTAGTTATGTGCTTATATGCCTCATATTAAATTATATTATTTCAACCTGCCATGGTGCACCTTACTTCAATGAAGCCCGCGTCTTGCCTTGCGCCTAAGGCTTCAGGTGACCTTGGCGCCTTGGTGCACTTATCGCTTTTAATAACATAGAGTCAAATTACAATGTAAAAAGACAAATATGCCATTATCTTCATCTTTCTGAAAACTAAACTCTAACCATCTTCTTCCCCAAAACCAAACTCTACCACCCCGCCACTCCTCTTTCCTCCCAACAGCCTCCCCCCTCATCCCTCACCTCTCCAACGACTGGCAGTGTCCTCCCTGACTCCCTCGCCACCACCCACCACTCCCCAGTCATTGTTGCGACCAAATCTCCCACCTTTCCTGATCTTTTTTGTGACCCCACCCAACCTCTCGCCTTCCCAGTTCTCCTGTGCACACATTGGTATTGAAGAACCCCATGTTTTTTGGGTTTCGTTGATCTTTTTTTTTTTAGTGCTTTTGTGTCTTGTCACAATAAAGAAATGGATTTTGTCTTTTTTTTAAATCCTTTTGGCGTTCAAGAATTTATTTATTTTTTTTTTCATTTCCTCTTTTGGAGTCTTTTGTTATTGTTAAATCTTTGTAAGCTTTTCCCCCCTTTGCTTTACTCCAGAATATATGTCTGGTGGAAGTGTGTATGACTATCTCCACAAACAAAGGGGTACTTTCAAACTACCATCTTTACTAAGAGTAGCAGTTGATATATCAAAGGGTATGAACTACCTGCACCAGAACAATATAATTCATAGAGATTTGAAGGCTGCCAATCTTCTGATGGATGAAAATGAAGTAAGATGCTTTCTTTATCTCTGTTTTCAATAATGTTAATATCATTTGTTATACTGCATTTTCTTTTCTCTGGGAACTCATTCTCTATTTTGTAGAAAAAACAATGCAAAAGTTTACCCTTATTTTCCAGACATACATATGTATATTGTTATTGTTGTATTATCCTCAATGTATATATAATCTCTTTTCTAAATTTCGAATAGGTGGTTGACTTTCCAAATTGCAGACAGTTTTATTTATTTATTTATGGTAGAGGGCAGTTGGATTTAAGGAATTTTCAATTAAGTATGTCCCTGGGGTTTTAAATTTCTATTATTGTTTAAAATGTTGGGATGTAGAGGACAACCTCATGATTAAAATTTAGAGTAGCAGCATGAATTGATTAGCCACACTAACATTTTGGAGACAGTGCTTTCCAACTGTCGGATAGATAGGATGAAAGCTTTGATTTTTGTTTGGCTGCTCAAATGGATGATTTTCTTTTCCATAATGTATATAAGATGTCTAATGTACTAATTGTTATACGTAAACATTACAATCAGCTTTGATATTAGTAAACCTTAGCTTAGTCTATCAAGCCATGCTCAAGTAGAGTGTCTTAGCCTTTAGGGAGCTTCCATATAGGGAAAAATTAAACCTTTTGAATCAAGGGATTTGTATACTTGGTGATAAAATCCACGAACTTCTTTGTTAGGATCTAAAATCATTTATTTATTGTTCTTGATTTACATCTGAGTTCTCATTGTCAAAATGTAGTTATTGCTTGTCATGCAAAAAATAAATAAACAGAAATTTGTTCATTGTGAGTTTGCTTTTTATGGCTTTCAAACTGAGTTTCATAATAATAATTAATGTTCAAAAATTTTTATAAAATCCTTTGCACTACAGGTTGTTAAGGTGGCTGATTTTGGAGTTGCCAGAGTAAAAGCTCAAACTGGAGTTATGACAGCAGAAACCGGGACATATCGATGGATGGCTCCTGAGGTGTGCATTTTTTGGATAAATTTTGGACCTTTTGCAATTCAAAATTGGTTATATGCTTTGTATGCTGATGTCTGCCTTTTTGGTGCCCATCTGATTGAAATTGTAGAGGTCAATCCATAAATGTGATTTTTGATGCTATAATTGTTTCATTCGTGTGATTTTGATTATAGCTTTGATCTATCATCTATATATAGATATTTGATAAAATTTTGGCACTTTGCCTAGGCTTCAAGGAGGTGTGATTTTCTGATTGTTCACCCTTTTAGTGGTTAGTTTTAGTTTCAAGTAAAATCTGGTTGTTAGGTAGCTGTGATGCCACTATAGGGTAAGAATTAGAAATGACAAAAAGAACATACTTGTCCATGATAGCACAGTGCTATATGTTGCTGTTATTGGGGATGCACATCTGAATTATTTAATGATTTATGCCCATTATAAAGTGAGCTGATCTCTAGATTATTTTGGGCTGCAACAGAGTGGCTATGTTGGTGTTGGTGTTGGTAGAATTGTGCAAAATACTGCCCAATCTGCGCCCCTTTATCTACTAATCGCGGTTTAAACTTTAAAATTTATAATCTGTACCGTTCCGCTCTACTATAATTAATACATATATATTTTTCAACCTCTAATCAAATATCGAAGTAAAAATAAGTGTAAAAGAGATTTAATATGTGAAATTTATTACAAATTAGTAGTTATATATATGTAAAATATTATGTAAAATTAGTTTGTATTATATATATGAAAATATTATGCAAATTAGTATTATATATTATGCAAAGACTTGATAATTGGTTAGAATATTTTTAATCCACCAATCTGCTCAAAACCGTTCAAACCCGCAATTTGCCAATCCGTCAATCTGCTAATCCGCCATTTGGTTTATAATTTTACTTTTAAACCGTTCAAACCACACCGCGCACACCCCAAGTTGTTGGTGTTGTTGAGTTTGGGAGAATCCGAGAAGATGAGTTATGATGTGAAGCATTATCTAGACATAATTTCTATGAAGCATTGACACTTCAATACAAGTGCTGTATCCGTGTCGGATACACCGGCACTTCAGGGGCACACGGACACTTCGGGGGCACGTCACATGGCCTGTCCCCCTTATTTAATTAATTTATTTGTAGTGGACATTTCGGGGACACACTAGGAACATGTCAAATTGTCTTTTCTTCCATTTTATTTAGTGTTTTTGATGAATGTTGAATGTTTGTTATTTTTTTTCTTAGATTTAAATACTCTATAGATCATCCATAAAAAAAATATAAACTGTAAATGTTAATCTAAAAGTGTTTTAAAAAAATAAAAATAGAATTAGAGTTAGTTTTTGTTGATAGTGATTGTTTTTGGATGTAATATTAATCTACATAGCAAATAAAAATATATGAAAACATATTTTATTGCCGTGTTCCCGCCATGTCTGTGTTTCCATTTTTTTGAAATCGCCGTGTCCCATGTCCGCATCCGTGTCTGTACCCATGTCCGTGCTTCTTAGCATAATTTAGTCCCCCACCTTCCCCCCCTCTTTATTGTTCACAGTCAATGAAATTAATTGGTTTTTCTGGGGTGGCAATTGTTCATCTTCTAATAGAGGTCGATCATATTATTTACTTATGATTATTCTGTTGCATTGAAGGTTATAGAACACAAGCCCTATGATCACAAGGCTGACATTTTCAGTTTTGGAGTTGTATTGTGGGAGTTGCTCACTGGAAAGGTATTGTTTGTGGCAACTACTAGTGGTTTTGGGCATTCTAGTGAATTGTATTCCAAAGTAATTCATATTTTTCTTACCAGCTTCCTTACGAGTATTTAACCCCATTACAAGCAGCTGTTGGTGTAGTTCAAAAGGTAAAGATCTGTTTCACTACATTGTTGAATCTTTCACTGCTAACCACATAGTTTGCTACCTCTGCGGAGTCAGCTTTTAGGACTATGACACTAAAATAGATATCAGAGATTGAGGCTTGTTATTTATTTATTTGAAATATTAAGTTCTCTGTGAAAATAAATAATCTACTCGACTTTCATTGACTTGGTTTCAGGGTTTACGGCCTACCATCCCAAACAACACTCTTCCAAAACTTGCTGAGCTGCTTGAGAGATGCTGGCAGCAAGATCCGACTTTAAGACCTGACTTCTGTGAAATAATAGATATCCTGCAGCAAATTGCAAAGGAGGTAACATCTGGTTTTGATTTTTTGATTTTTTTTAAATTTTTTTATTATGGAGGTAACATACCTCTGATTTCCATTTAATTGCATGGTACCCTTTTTTACATAATTGATAACATCTTATTTACGAATAGTATTACACAATATGCAATATATGTGAGTGTCCACAATGTTTCCTTGTACCCATTCCCCACTTTTGGTTACATTGACTTTTCTATTTCCTTTGAAGTACCTGTGTCCACTCAAATTGACAATGGTAAGGGTGCCAGATACGTGTCCGACACCTTTACTTGATTTTAGACACTTGGGGCTTCGTTTGTCAACTATACATTTTAGTCAAAAAATCAAAAAGTCATTATAAGTTGTCATATCACTCTTTATTTTTTTGCACATATTTGAAGAAGAAACTCAAATTTTGCTAGTAAAATAACATTTCTATTTAATTGCAAGTACATTTTTTTTACATAATTGATAACATCTTATTTAAGAATCATATTATTCAATATGCAATTTATGTGAGTGTCCACTATGTTGCCTCGTATCCGTACCCGTACCCGTACCCCGCTTTTTGATACATATATCGCAATATTCTTATATTTATATTTATGAAGGCAAACACTTGGACATGCACCCATAGTCATATCCAAGGACCATGGTGCATGAAAACATAGATTAGTCACTGATGACTTAAAGAACTCCTGAATTTTATCTCTTTCTAATATGGTTGTTTTTGAATTGCATCTTCTGTTTCTTAAAAAATAAAAATAAAAATAAAAATCATCAATTTGATTGCATTCTCTTCATTAAACTTTTCTACAATCTAAGTAACGCATGAAGTATGTAGAACAGGTTGGAGATGAAGTCAAAGATAAGTCATCTGGTGGATTCCTTTCAATTCTCAGACGGGGACATCACTGAAGTGAAGGGGACTATGACTTTTATATTAATACATGAGTTAATTGTGTCCCGTCTACTTTTTCATCTGCACTGTACAGTTTTTAATGCTTCTTTTATTTTTTTTCATTTTCATATGAGGTTAAAAAAATAAACTTTATTGATTTATTTAACCAGGCATTCCTTGTTTTTACATTCCCCCGTCATAGCATCAATCTAAGCCGTAGTGTTGGAGTAATGTAACCTCAAAAAACTGTTGCTGTTGTTACAATAACAGTAGTACTGATGATATTTGGTTTCAACACCTTTTTATTGGGACACCGCCATCATACCATGTAATTAGACAGTTACAATTAGGATTCTTGTACGATTGTGCCTTAAACAGTTACAGTAATTGGAGTGTTCTCTCATGGTTGGGCTGAGTTTTGCTTGTGAAATGGTGGTGTTGACAATCTGTAAGGGATTATTAGTGAACACAATAAATCGATGCTTTCTGGGTTGGGAGGGCTAGTATTGGTCATGGCTTTACTTGTGAAAAAGGATTTTTTATTTTTCTGATATCATAAGGATTCATCTGGAGACAATTCAATTTCTGCCTAGTTCAACTCCATCCCATTCTTGTTCCTGCCTTTTTCGTTTGGAAAATTTAAATTGCAGGGTGTTAGGATTGCCACTATTTTTGGTCAATCAACGTTCGCAAGTGTTAAATTTATTTTTGTTCAATAAATGTTAGCGAGTGTTAAATATTAACAAGATGAGAAAGTGTAAAAAGATTATGAAATGTTTTGAAATTTATGAAAATATAGTGAATTTATTAACAAATGACTCCAAATTAACAGTTTTTTTTGGGTCCTTTTTTATGTCTATAGACATTTATTAACAAAATATTTATTGTTTTTTATTGTCTATTTTGAAAAGATGGTTAAAAGTTATTTTTTAGTTTTTAATTTATTGGGTAAATTACATTGACACCCCCTGAGATTTATGTTTATTACAGTCCCCTATCTCACCTTTTGAAAATTACATCTCCTTCCCTGAGATTTAAAGTTTCATTACAGATTGCTCCCTCTAGCAATTTAATTTTTTTAAATACTAATTTTGCCTTCACTGGGTAAATTACATTGACATCACTCACATTTTAGAAATTACAATCGTTTGAACTAGTATTACCAATTATCTACTCGGTTAGTATTAGTTGAAAAAAAAAATCATTGGAAAAAAAATTATTCAAAAAAAAAAATAGGGTAAATTACATTAACACCCCTTAAGGTTTGTGTTTATTATAGTTCCCTCCTCATCTTTTGAAAATTACATCTCCCTCCCTGAGATTTAAAATTTCATTACAGATTCTTCCCTCAACAATTTATTTTTTTTAAATACTAATTTTGTCTTCACTGGGTAAATTATATTGACACCCCTCACCTTTTAGAAATTACAATTCCCTCCCCAAGGTTTAAAGTACGAAAAAAAATTATTTGAGAAAAAAGTTAATTGAAAAAAAAATTTCTTAGTCAAATTTTTAAATTTATATTTAAAAACTAACGTAAACTCATTTTTTGAATTTACGTTTTTTTCTCAAATTTACAAACTGAGACAACCATTTATAAACAAAAAAAATTATCAAACAAGTTTTTATGATAGTTTTTAAAATTTTTGTAAATATAAATTGAAAAATGAAAACGAAATGATTATCAAACAGGTTTTAGATGGTAAAAATGTTACAAAATTAAAAAATAATTAAATAAGTTACCAACGTAAAAAATGACTTATTAAAATATTCTTAGGCTATGTATGGTTTGACTTTTTAGAAATTTTTTTAAAAAATTAAAAATTAATTTGGTTAAGAAATAAAAAATAATTATCATTTTTATATAATTTTTATTTTTTGAGTAGTTAGAAATAATTTTTTACAAATTAAATTAAAACAACCATATGTATGTATATAATAATATAACCTACCCAAAAGTTTAAATGATAATTATTTTTTATTTTTTATTTCTTAACCAAATTAATTTTTAATTTTTTGAAAAAAATTCTAAAAATCAAACCATACATAGCCTAAAAATCTTTTGATAAGTCATTTCTTACGTTGGTAACTTATTTAATTATTTATTAATTTTAAGACATTTTTACCAAATTTAAAAAACTATCATAAAAACTTGTTTGATAATTTTTTTGGGTTATAAATGGTTGTCTCAATTGCAAATTTGAGGAAAAAACGTAAATTACTATAAATAATGTAGAGACTACGGAGAATGAGAGAGAGATAGAGATGTGAAAGAGATTTTGGAAATCATCAAAATAAGTAAGAACAAAAAATTATGAAATTATATTTTCGAATAAATAAGTATGACACATTTACATCATCTGTACAAGTTTGATTTACAAAACTATAACAATTACTATAAATAAAAAAAACAATACACTCCATATCACACTCGCTAATGCCCTAACTTGCCTCCAGTCCCACAACCCCGACCGTGGACCTCCCTCCTCGGTCTCCTGCGGTAGACTCTCTGAATATCTGGCTTCCTCAATCGTAAATACGTATCCAGTGGCACTCCCTCCCCTACATGTGGCCCTTCACTGACTGCCTGTGAAGCTTGTGAGTGTCACCCCCTCTCTCCTGCATGTGCTGTCCTTGATCCTGTCTCTAGCTGAAGATCGGATACTGCTGTGAGCTGTGAAACTCCCTCATCTGCTACAACTGTATCACGATCTGCAGCTGGACCTCGACCTTGACCTCGACCTTTGCCTCTGCCCGCATCCGGACCTCGGCTGCGACGTCCGCCACGACCATAACCTCGGCCTCTCCCTCGCGCTCTGGGGGGGGGCTCAATATAGGCCTCATACTCAACGTGGGAGATGTCAGTGAGAACTGCATCATGTGTACTCATGGTCGCGGTCGAACTAGTCCCTAGAAAAGCAGGTGGTAACTGGGTGGGTGGGGTAACAACATCATGCATGAACCGGGGCGCGGTCGAAGTACTCCCCAAAAAAGCAGGTCGTAACTGGGTGGGTGGGGTAACAACATCATGCATGAACCGGGGCGGTGTCCAATCAGGGTCAGGGTCAGCATGCTGGGTAGGATGTACGTGTGGGGAATCTGGAGAAATGTATAGGGTATCATGTGGTGGGGTGACTGAAGTCCAAGGACCTGCTGTGGCTGGCACTAAAGTGGAAGGCACTGACGTGGACGAGGCTGATATGTCTGGAGCAGCTGCTGCACTGTGTACACCGTAGTGACCAAAATGTAGACGATCTATCCGATGGGCATGCTGGATACCCTCGTACAATAACTCTCGGATCTCTGCAAGGGCTTGCATCGCATGTTGTCCATCACGTCTGAAAAGGGCGTCCTCAGCCAAGTGATATGACCTCCCAGCTCAAACCACCTGAACAAAAATTCAGACGTATTAGGCTATAGTTGACTGAAAGTAAATCAATTATGATCTTAACAATTATCTGACACATACTATGATACTCACCAATGTCTCGAGAGAAGGCCCAAGTCCCTAATATCCGAACTCAGACAGGTGGCTCGGATTACCGACTAGTAGGTGTGTATGTCGCTGATACCACAACATATAAGGGTCGGAAGAGGGGAGGACCTCATCACTCCAGTCAGCCTGTACAATACTGTCGCAACGGGCATCCCACAGCTGTATATATCGCATATGATACAAACTCCAGTTAGTGCCGGTTCGGCCACGTCTATTAGTCGTATGCAACTGCCACTCGGTGTCGCACTGATTCGGCACGGACTGGACCTGACCAAACTGTCGGAGGACACGATCAGGGAGATGCCACTCAACCACGTCAAAACAAATGAGTGGCACTCTCGCCATCCATATCTCCTCACTTAGTCGGCAATAGTCTGGGAGCGTACTGAGGACCCCAGCATAAGGCTGCCAGATAAACTACAATAAAGACAAGTCTATTAAAAATCACTCATGAACATATACACTCCATATGACAATTAAAATTTAGGTATTTAAATTTCATACCTCGCCCTCTATCATCCGATCAAGTTGGTCTCTATACACAACGACTACGTGGGTCGATACGACCTCGTGACCCATGTCAACCCTCCACCGGCTACCTCGAGGTCTGGTTGGAAACTGCATGTCTCCCTGGCCGGTGGGAACCTCACCAGGAGCAACCACTTGCCGCCTAGACGGGGTAATGCGAATAAATCTCTCCCACGCCCAAATCTGCAATAGTTTGAACGCAATTACAGTACTGATATATGTCATACAATATGAATTGACATGTAATAAAATTCTTACTAACATGTAGCAAGATAAGAGGTCCTCCGATCTCCTTCGTACCCACCTGAGCTGCTTGACATAGCATCCTATACAAGCATGCCAAAGTCGCGGCGCCCCAGCTGTACTGGCTGATCGCGTCAATGTCTCTCAACAGTGGCAAGTACATCAGCTTGAGCAGTTCTGCGACTAATCAGGGAGAAGTACCCCCACAATAAGCCACAGAATATATGCTCGAGCATGCTGCTGTACTAACTCACCTGGAGCCTGATCTAGAAGATGGCCCCGAAACTGCTCGGATAACCACCTCACCCTCAGTCTACCTGCCTGTAAGTCTGCAAGTATAGGTGCTACTTCTAATAGCTCAGCACATAGGGCTATCCACTGGTCCCTCATCAATGATGGGTCAGCTCCAGTAACTGCTCGCCCATCAATCCATAGACCATATAGGATAGATACGTCCTGTAATGTGATGGTGGCCTCTCCGATCGGGAAATGATATGCATGAGTCTCTGTGCACCACCTCTCGACGAGAGCAGTGATGAGTGGGTGGTCCAGTCTAATATGGCCTATACGATAGACACCATAGAATCCCACGCGTAGTAGACATTGCAAGACTCTATGGTCCAATGGATGCTCCCACAGGCTGGAATCTCCTCGCCGGCATGTCACCACGGTGCGTGCCTCGTCCTGCATAACAGAATGACTAGTTTAAATTATAGCATTATCACGTAATATAAAACAAAATGCAGGGTATTTTCATTGTAAGCGTAAAGTCCAACAAACATTATTGCATACCGGATACTCCCATATACAGTCAGCCCGATGTGGATGACTGAAAAGTGGGACCTCATCGAGTAGATGTGCCATGAAGCCTGTACAAGTGAAATACTAGATCATAACAATAAAAGTCTCATTTAATCATAACATGAAAACTGTAATTATTCCATAAATTACGATTTGTAAAAGAAAAGTGTGCTCAACTATTTACAAATTTATATTTGTGTGACACCATATATGGAAGCAATTCACTTAAATGTAATTAATTTTTATTTTAAAAAACTGTATTGGTGAGCATGTAATTTACCTATAACAATTAAACTCTAATTATTCCATACATGACGACTTGAAAAACAAATGTGGTCGATTATTTTAAAATTATCAATTTG